TCTTCAATGCGGAAGATAGTTGTCGTTGTGGAACATTTTTGACCGAGAAATATAAAGGTACGCTGATTGTTGCTACTTTTCAAGATCCAAATACTCAGATTTATCCTCTTGCTTAAGGTATAGTTGATTCTAAGAATGATGCATCGTGGACATGGTTTTTTACCAAGCTGAAAGAAGTAACGGGGCATACTGAAGATCTTGTTGCTATATCTGATCGACATCCAAATATTATCAGTGGAGTTCAAGCTGTCTATCAAATTGCCCATCATGGTCATTGCATCTAACATATAAAAGGCAACTTAAGGATCGTAACTCGAAAAATCGAGATTTTCCTACTTTTTAAGAAAGCAGCAGAAGCATATACTTTAGAAAGTTTGGAAATTATATGAGCGAAATTAAGAGAATTGATATCAAAGCTTGAGATTATTTAGTCAAAGCACGTTTCCATACTTGGGCCAAGTCACACTTTCAGGGAAACCTTTATAATATCATGACATCGAACAATTCAGAGTCACCGAATTCGGTGTTTAAGAAAGATGATTTTTTTCTGGAGAGCAGCAAAGTCTACTTATTTAGCTGATTTTACATTTTGGATTGACAAAATAAAGGAGGAGAATAAACTTGTCTGGGAGTGGTTATGAGCTAAACTAGCCGAGCAATGGTCGAAGTCCCATTTCATGACGGCTTCCAAATGTGACATTTTATTAAACAACATCTGTGAATGCTTTAACAACTACATAAAGGAAGCGAGGGTGAAGGATATTTTAACTCTTCTTCAATCAATACAAAACAAGGTGATGGTACAGATGTACAAACGTCACGATATGATGGCAAAGAGTTCTAGCGATATATGTCCAAAAATTGTAAATAAACTTGAAATGAGTACACGTGATTCTTTTTCGTGGAAAGCATTATTCAATGAGAAAATGTAATTTCAAGTTTCTGGACCTTATTCCGATGGTCAATTGTGGTAGATTTACAAAACAGGATATGCTCATGTAGAAAGTGGGATATAACTGGTGTGCTTTGTCCACACACAATAGCCGGCATCCGTGAGTGGGGTAAAGATCCTTTGCAGTTTGTGGACGAGAGCTACAAAGTTGTAACTTACTTAAAAGCTTACAGGAATTGCATATACCCTATAAATGGACCAAAAATGTAGCTTTCGAGTGGCTTCGACCCCGTAAAACCCCCAACGTGGGTGACCAAAAAACGAGGCAGGAAGCAGACAAAGCGTCGAAGAGGGGTAGAGGAAGCTGTATTATCCAAAGAGAAGATGAAGAATATTGATAGGAGAGGTGATGGAAAGAAGAGAATGAAATGTAGTATTTGCAGTCAAACGGGTCACAATAAAAGATACCACTCGAACCATAATTCGCAGGCAAGCTACACACCAAATGAGGTATGTATCATATTATAGTTGTAGGAGTATATCCAGTTTTTGTTTTATTTATTATGTTGGTTGACATCTTTTTTCATGAATTGTATGACATAAATGGTCCAATGGAATGGGAAGTTGTAAGAGCAAATGTTGGATAGCAATTTGCAAATTCATAGCCAACTAATGGTGGAAATGAACAACGTGTAGTGCGGCGTTTTCTTTCCCAGCCTACTGATGGTGCTAGACAAACAGGGTTTGGTGGTTCAATGTCCTTCGTGCCAAAATCGAGATTCAATTTCAATAGGAAGGCATATGTACCTCAGCGAAGGCCAACAGCTGGTGGAAGTTTGAACTCAACTCTGAGTGAAGCATGGAACAACTTGATGATGAATGGCGCGGGTTGAAGCCTATCATATGTTTTTTGACAACGAACTCTATTTTGATAGCCACCATCTAGTTTTTGTCATTATTCATTTTTTGATGAAATGTGGAAGATTGTGAGTGATATTTCACTCATAATATAAATGGCATTATAGCATTACTCATCGAGTGTGCCAATTACGTATTCTTCTCATCAATAAAACAGCAGCAAATTACATTCTACTCATTAATAAAGCAGTAGCAAATTGCATTCTGCTCATCAATTGCAGTCATCAAGTACCTAAGGGGCGCATGATAGCATTACTCATCACAATTAACAAAAATGAGAACGTAAAGCTGCTATTAAAAGATAAAAAAAATAAAAATGGGAGACATCACGTCTCATGGAGACGTGGTGTCTCCGTGCTGCACGGAGACAATCTTGAACCACTCCACTAATGGAATATTCTGCTAAAATTACAAATAAGTCCCAAACAAATAATTAAAAATCAAAAGCAAAATTTACTTCATTCGGATTTCCATCTCCAATGACTTTATCAAATTCATTTACATATGCTATTTGGGCATTACCCTTTTCAATATAACCTTCATCATCTGACTTGCTTCTTTTTGCACTTGATTCACTGTTTTCTGATGCAACCTGCATTGAGTTAATCAAATGAGTTACTACTTTGATTTCCAAAATCAAGGATTTAAAACCCTCAAATGCTTGAAGAGAAATTAGCTTACATTGGCATCTTTGGCGGGGATTTCTTTAGCCTTTCTCCTTGGAATTGATTTCCTCTTTCTTGAATTTGAAATATTTTGTGCTTTGATGTAATTTCCCTCAACTAGGATCTACTCAGAAGCTGAAGAATTCTCCTTGGAATCCCCAAGTTCTTTTTTTTTTCCAGAAGTTCAAGGTCTCGAAAACCTGTCAAATCTTCTATCAAAGGCTAAAATTCCTTCCTGAAGTGGGGTATTCTTGTTTTCTTGAATTCGGAATGGGTGGTCCGCGACGATGAAAACCACCGTCGGCGTCGAAATTAACGAAGAAATTCAGTGTGTGTTCGCGCAACCAGCTGCATTTTTGGTTGATTTTGGCCATATAAATATATTGTTTGTTCAATTGATTTACAGGAAAGTGTTTGGGGGTTGATGGTG